CATATCACGACTTAAACGAGAGGCCACGAAGAACCCTGGACTTACCAGTCAAGAGCTTTTCAGTCGCATTAGGGATCCTACTGCGTCTAAAACTACTCGGTACTCGGTGTCGGTATCTGAGGGAAATAGCAACAACAGTCAAACCTGTATCAAAGCCTCCGTTGACGAGAAATCACATTCCAAATCGATTGAAATGGGCCGAGGACAATATGAAGATTGACTTCTCTAAAGTTTTGTCCACAGACGAAACTCGAGCAACACTTGATGGGCCAGAGGATGGTGCAAAGGCTGGGCAATGAACGGACAGAATCGCCATCAGCGTTTGAGACGCCAAGAAGGCATAATGGAGGCATAATGATCTGGGGTGATATTATTGGAAAAACATTAGTGGGCCCATGGAGAGTACCAGATGGCGTCAAAATGACTGCTGATGCATACATAGCGTTTATGGAGGAGCATCTTGAACCGTGGATGAAAAGGCAAAGACTTGCCTTCAGAAGAGCCATTATTTTTATGAAAGATAATGCTCCCTCACATGCTGCTCACAAAACTACTGAATATTTGAAACAGTTAGGCTTCGATGGAGCTCAAAAATGAAGTGGCCAACAAATTCTCCGGATTTGAACCCAATCGAAAACCCTTTGGAGCATCATGAAGCGAAGACTGTACGCCAACGGACGACAATTCAGGAGCAACGCTTAGTTGTGGGAAGCAATTCTTGACATATCTCGCGGCATTACAGCAGATGACATCCTACAATTAACAAATTCGATGGATCGTCGACTTTTTCAAGTAATTTCAAAACAGGGAAAGCACATTCCCTATTAATTTGTTTAAAACTGTGCCTTTGTTTGTATTTGTTATTATTTGTTTGATTATATTATTTATTAGCTTCTTTTGATCATAAACATTCACGTGCAATACTAATAAACGTTTTGTTTGCTCAATTCTGGGAATTTTACTAAACCTTTCTGATAACAAATATGGTGCCAGTTTGTTTACATGACGCAAATCAGTACGAAAAATTCAGTGATTGCGCAAGTCAGTGTTGCCAACGTTGTGTGAAAATTTTGTGTGAATTGATTGAACGGTTTTTGAAATACTAGAAAAAGTTATCTCGATAATAATTTGCCACGCAGTGTATATATATATATATATATATATATATATATATATATATATATATATATATATATATATATATATATATATATATATATATATATATATATATATATATATATATATATATATACACACACACACACATATATATATATATATATATATATATATATATATAGAGAGAGAGAGAGAGAGAGAGAGAGGAGAAATGCGTATTGCGTTTTCTTTCGAAAATATTATGAACGATTTACATGCTAAGTTTTGAAAGCAAATTTTAATCTTTATTATGGATTATGAAATCTTTACTATATCCTGACTTATTATAGAAATCTCAAACCCAAATTCGTGATAGATGCGTTTGAGTCTAAAAATGCCACTTGATTGTACAAGACTAGTAGGCGGTGTTCGCTGGAATGAGCCAATCCCACGAAGAAATTGGCCCTTAGGTTTTATACTCTAACTCCAGCAAAAATTTTTATATTTAATAATGTTAGAACCGCACAGTGGGGCCTTTAATTCTATTTCCATTGCCATCCAGAAATGTTGCAAAACGAAAAAAAACAGACATGGAATTTTCCCTCCATTTTTTTTTCCAAATTTCTGATAAAATTAATTTCTATTTCTCAAGTGAATCATGCAAGCCTTGAGCTCAATAATCAACAACGTTTGTGTTCGAGAAATAAATGAAATCTCTTAGAATCACACGTGACCTGCTAAAATCATGCGAATGATGCGCGCCCATTTCTGGTGGAAATGCCTTGATCCAATGCGAATGGATAAGTGATAATCAAATTATAGCGTTATCTCTGCATGTCTCGAGAGGTACTCAAAGTAGAGGCTTAGTGTTAATATGGCTATGGTGAGTTTCTAAGCGTAGATTGGATGTGAAACAAGGCGGAAAGTATGGGCCATCCGGTAAGAATCGAACTTACTTCGCGTCGCAATTGTTCTAGAGAGAAAAGCTTGTTAACCGTTACATAACAGAAATCAAAGTAAATAATAACAATAATAATAATAGTAATAATAAATAGTAAAACACCAAATCCACACCATCAACAAAGAAGATACACCCTTCAAGAAACAGCTTAATATACCTAAAATCCTACCAACAAAAAACGAAGTGTATACCATCTTTTTTTTTATTACGCCCCGAGCAAGGCGGGAAGCTACTAGGATGCAGGGGGTTGCAGAAGATTTGGTGCGAGAGCAGATAGGAGTGATAGAAGAAAGGATGAGGAAAGGTATAGTGGGTAGATCAAGGTAACTGGAGATGTCGATTGACATTACATTTGAATAGTTGGAGATTATAGCTTTCAGGGAAACAGTAATAGGGAAGGGTGTTCCACAGGCGAGAGGTGCGACGTATGAAGCTATTGGAGTAGAAAAGACGGCTACATTTAGGAGTTTCAACAGTGAAAGGGTGAGAGCGGGATACCAGCTTCATAGGGCGCTTGAATTCATGAAGTCTGGGAAAGAGTGAAAGCAGCTCATCGGAGCAATTACCATGAAAGTATTTGTAAAAAAGAGAGAGAGAGAGAGGCGACGGCGCGTCTGTGAGAGAGCGACTGTAGACGAGATGCCAGAACAGGGCCAATTATATTGCATATCCGCCTCTGGATCTTGTCAAGAACTCCGAGGTAAACAGAAGGTGCACCAGACCATATATGGCAGCAATACTCCATGCAAGGGCGAATGGTTGATTTGTATATTTGAAGTATCGATTCCGGGGAGAAAAATTTCCTGGCGCGGCACAGTGAGCCAACTTTCCTCGCGGTGGATGAAGCAATTGACTCAATGTATTTGTTCCATCTCAGGTCAGTAGTCAACGTGAGACCGAGCAGACGCAGAGAGTTGCTCTCAAGAAGTTGACTATCAGACATTCTAATGGGGGGCAGGGAAGGATCTCTATGGTGATTAATACAGAGTAGTTTAGTTTTTGAGGCGTTAAAGTTGACCAACCAATTCTTGCCCCAGTTAACAACCGATTGGAGGTCCATTTCAAGACGACTGGCCAGCAAAAAAACTGGACGGACAAAGGCGTTGCATGGCAAATACATAAACAAGAACTAAAGAAGCAGGTGTGGACCAACACAAAACACATCAGTGGCTGAGGAGCACCGTGCTGAAAACTGTGACAGAAAGCCTAATTAATTCAGCTCAGGACCAAAGCCTCACAACAAGATCCTATCACTGTCACATAATCAGGGATGTAACTAACACGAAATTCAAGGCCTGCAGAAAATATGATGAAACTCTCGACCATATTATCTCAGGATGTATGGAACTAGCAAAAAATGAATATACCCACAGACATAACAAGGTAGCGACATATGTGCACCGGAAGATATGCAAGAAGCACAAAATCGAAACCACTGAGAGATGGTATGACCACCAACCAGACATAGTTACCCAAAATAACGATATAACTATCCACTGGGATATGCCAATTCAAATTGACAGGGAAATAAAAGCCAACAGACCTGATATTATAATAAAATACAAGAAATTCAGGAAGTGTATGCTTGTTGACATAGCAGTACCATCTGAGCGAAACACCTCCATAAAATTATCGAGAAAGTGTCCAAATACAAGGACCTGGAGATAGAGATTAACAGGATGTGTTGAATGAAGACTGTACCAATAGTAATTGGATTTCTGGGCCTTGTGAGAAAAAGCAATGTTTTACTAACACTATCACAGGTAACATCAACGTACAAGTTGCTCAGAAGATCACCCTACTAGGAACATCCCATATACCAAGAAAAATGCTATCAATTAAATGACAATGCTCCTGCTGGGCCTAAGGACCATAGTTTGAACTCGGCTTATAGTTTCAATACAAATCAGGGAACATAACATACACAAATAATAATAATAATAATAATAATAATAATAATAATAATAAAAGATTGAAGTAGACTAATTGAAGGGATCCCTGGAAGTCCATGCCTCAAGGAGATACAAAAAATTGTTCTGACAAGTACAGCCCACACTTTACAAAGGGCTTTATCTATGTAATTTTTAATTTTTTTTGTCAGTGAAAAGTGTCATGATGCCATTTCTAACCTTAGGTCCTTGGGTAGGACCCGGAACAAAATGTGTAAACGACAGAAATCAAAGAAAATAATAATAATAATAATAATAAAAGATTGAAGTAGACTAATTGAAGGGATCCCTGGAAGTCCATGCCTCAAGGAGATACAAAAAATTGTTCTGACAAGTACAGCCCACACTTTACAAAGGGCTTTATCTATGTAATTTTTTAATTTTTTTTTGTCAGTGAAAAGTGTCATGATGCCATTTCTAACCTTAGGTCCTTGGGCAGGACCCGGAACGAAATGTGTAAACGACAGAAATCAAAGAAAATAATAATAATAATAATAATAATAATAAAAATTTCTTTGAACATCTATTCGGAGTAAAGTTCACCACAAACCACAAATGGAAATTATATATATGATCCAACGGTAAGGGTACTGGGAAAGTGATCTGTTTTTAGCAACGCTCCTGAAAGCACTTTATTTCTCCTGGCATGCGCCATCTTTACAAGAGTCAAATCAGACCAGCTTTGACAGAGTTCAAAAAGGTTATGTAGCTCTATTGGCCGCGATTTATTTTACACTTTAGAGTCCCTTTCCACTGACGCAATGTCTTCAGCCTATCACCATCGTATGACAATAAGTTAAATTAGCTTCGTAAAAATGCTTATATTACGACGATGCATAAAAATATTAAGTTAGGTTCGCTTTTACTGATACAATGCATAAGTAGTAGCTCGCTCACTTTACTAGAGAGTTGGTCCGTAGAATGAGATTGCCAAACATCGCGTTATGGTAAACGCGCAAAGAAAGGGCGGCCAATATAACTAAAATAAATCATAAAAAAAGGAATGAATGAACAAACATAAAAAGAATTATAAGATAAGCGTAAGAAGGAAGAAAAAAAACGAAAGAAAGAAGAATGATTTGTTTTCGGGTGAGGCGAAACATAATTGATTTCCACACAGAGATCGAATTCTGAGAATAATGGATACATGGAATCCTCAATGGCCCAAGCGTGTTTAGCACAGAATTATTGGTAAAAATGAGAAAGAAAAGACGAAGAAGAGAAAGAACTTCGCGGTTGGGGTGGACAAGGAGGAGAATCTAAAGGCAAATGAAGAGAGAAAAGAAAAAGAGAAAAGAAGAAGAAGAAGAAGAAGAAGAAGAAGAAGAAGAAGAAGAAGAAATAGGTAGGAAGGAGAAGTAGGAAAGATGAAAAAAATAAGAGGAATAAAGGAAATAAAAAAAGAAAATTAAAAAACAAGTCAAGAATAACAAATTGAAATGCAAGTTGAATACAAAGGAGACAAGAAACAAAGATAAAATAAATAAAAAAAAAAACGCAAGAAGAAATACAAAACTGTCCGCCTTTCGACGTCCGGTTTTACCAGGAAAGCAAGCTTAATGAAGGTATGCTTGTAAGTTACACTTGATTGGTCAAAATTGTTCCAATCAGGGAAGAGTTGACAGGCCGAATAGAAATTTCGCACCTTGCAGATGAAGTGAACGAAGAACAAAAAGTATGAAACCAAATCAAGAAGCTAGTATTTAAAATCACTGCCTCTCTCTCTCTCTCTCTCTCTCTCTCTCTCTCTCACACACACACACACACATACACACGCACACATACACACACACGCATATATATATATATATTATGGGGGCAGTGAAGAAGGACCTTGAAAAAGCTTTTTGGTCGATCCGAAAACGTTTCAGCACAAATTCGAGAGAAATAATGTGCGTACATGTGTCTGTAAGTGTGTGTGCGTGCGTGTGTACGTGTGCGTGTGTGCGTGTGCGTGTGTGTGAGAAAGGGTGGGGAGAGTGATATTTGCCATATATTTTATATTTAGGGATACTTGATAAAATCCAAAGAAGAATCGGTCATGTTAATGATACTGACCTGGCATCTCTTTCCCGACGCCGTAACGTAGATTTCCTGTGTATTTTCTATAAATACTTTCATAGTAACTGTTCTTTCCTCTATGATTTATGGATTTAAGCACAGTACGAGATTGGCGGCATGCTCTCATCATTTTAGGGTTTAAATGGCTAGATGAAACCGTAACAGTTCCTTCTGAGTTCGTGCTTTCCGGTCAAGTTTGATCTTCAAAAATTTAAATGCAATGCCAATCGTTAGCATCTCGTTTCTTAATTCATCTTTTATTGTTCTGTTTCCTTAGTAGCATGTTTTCCTCATAATCTCTAACACATGGTAAACCGTTGCGTCTTAGTGGCGTTATTGCCTTGCTTGGAGCGAAATGATTAAAAGAACATTTTCAGATAGATAGATAGATAGATAGATAGATAGATAGATAGATAGATAGATAGATGAAAAGTATTGATAATAATAATATTGTGACCAAAGATCACAGAAACAGAATATGCTTTGTTATTGACAGGTCAGTTCTTGCAGATTGTAATGTATCTTGGAAGATCTTCAAATAACTATCAAAATACACGGATCTTGAAGTAAAAATTTAGAAAATGTGGCATATGAGGACACCAATAATTCCAGTTGGTGTCTTCGGATTAACCGGAAAAGTTCTGATAGACTCTTTGGAGGGATTCCTGGTAACCCAAGAAATACAAAAAATTGTACTCACTGGTGCAGCTCACAAATTATGAAGATTTATGCTAAATGTCATCGAGTACTCTCCTGATTTTTTTTCCTCTTCCCGATCGTTAATAATGTTTCTGTTCCTAATTCGTTCACACCCAGTAACCCCTTGTGTCTTAGTGGTTTTACTGCCTTGCATGGGGTGAAATCGATAAAAAAGTGTAATGTGTGTGATCTTGGGGGTTTTTTTTGTTTGTTTTTTTTTTTCAAAAATGATCAGTGGAAAATGTCATTAAGCCATTTCTGACGAAATGTGTACACAACAGAAATCAAAGGAAATAATAATAATAATAACAATAATAATAATAATAATAATAATTTAAGGAGATTGAAATCGAAACCACAAAAATGTGGCACATGAGGACATCAACAATTCCACTTGTAATTGGAGCTCTAAGATTGATTGAAAAAAGCACAATAAACTCACTCAAGGGATTTCAGACATCTCATGCCTTAAAGTAATACAAAAAATCGTTCCCACGAATACAGCCCACAACTTTACAAAGGGCTTTATCTATGTAAAATATGTGTGCTTATTTTTTTTTTAATTGCTCAATTGAAAATATCATGATGCTATTTCTGACCTTAAATCTCTAGGCGAGACCCGGAAAGAAAAGAGTGCACACCAGAAATCAAAGGAATAATAATAATAATAATAATAATAAAAATTTCTTTGAACATCTCTTCGGCCTAAAGTTCACCCCAGACCTCACGTGGAACGTACGATCTAACGCCAAAGATACTGAAAAAGTCGTCAGTTCCTAGTAACGCTCCTGAAAGCAGCTTATTTCTCATGTCATGCGCCATCTTTACAAGAGTCAAATCAGACCAGCTTTGACAGAGTTCAAAAAGGTTATGTAGCTCTATTGGCCGCGATTTATTTTACACTTTAGAGTCCCTTTCCACCGACGCAATATCTTCAGCCTATCACCATCATATAATGACAGTGAGTTAAATTAGCTTCGTAAGTTAATTAGCATTTGATTGTCAAACAAGACCAGCTTTGACAGAGTTCAAAAAAGTTATGTAGTTCTATTGGCGATTACTTCTCTCAAACCTTAGAGTCCCTTTCTATTGACACAACGTCTTCAGTCTATCACAGCTCCCTCGCTACTTACATTGCAAATATTTCGACAATCTTTGCTATTTAGTGCCACCAGGTTACACTTTTAGAAGCAGTACCCGCCTTACTACATCTACAGGTCTGAATCGCCGACATTCCTTTGATCGGAAGGACGTCTCGCTCCGGAAGTATCTTTTTTTTTTTTTAACATTCTCCCGCGGGAATGATTCCCGGGCACTACAATCTTAATCTCTTCAAGTCTAGCGTCAAACGTTATCTATCCTCCATAACCTCGTAATCTTCCATCTCCTACTTCCAACTCTTAAGGTCATATCACACACCATAACCAGTAGGGTCTCTTGGGCCTTGTACTAGATGGAATTTAATAAATAATAGTTATTATTGCTTTAGTATTTGTCTATATTTCTGAGATGAGGTATTATATACACTATTTACATTATTCGGACTATTGTCCTCATCTTTGTTGCCAGAGGAGAACTTGAAGAGGGGAATTAACAAGAGATAACTGATAACCGACACCCATTAAACATGGCACGTGGAACTAGAACAGTCTACCCCAGTGAGCGAAATAAAGGGTTCAGTTCGACATTCCAACCACCTGAAGAAGGCCAGAGCGTACAACGGCCGAAACGTTATAATAAATATGTCGACAAAGATGAGGACAACAGTCCAAATGATGTAACTAGTGTATTATTGCTTTGTGTTGCGCAAGGTATATGCAAATAACAAAGGTACGCTGATGGTGTTGTATCAGTTGGCGGGCTTATATCACTATTTACGCAGAAAGAGTTCGATCCTTTCGTCTAACTCTGTTACAATGCATGTCACATTGGTGGTTTAATGTTTAGTTTCGCATACTATTCTATAGTGAGTTCGATCCTCACTGAGTGCTCAGTACTTGTGGCCTGTTTTTACAACTAATCAAATCTGATTTGGCATTATAATTTTGTCTCCGCGTAGAGTAATGCTTAACGAGCTAGTCCGGTTGTCCATAACTACTGAGTAGTGATTTCGATCCTCACCGTGTTTCTATATTTGTAGCTTTGTGCCAAACTAATTAAAAACTTAGGAAATGATTTATGCGCGCAGTGTTGAGTAACTGCTATTAAGCTAATTTAGTTAACCATTAATATTGATTAATCGATTATCAACTGGTGCTATGTAATCGTGGCCTCATGCCAAACTTTGCGCGTGACGTCAATCCAAAATAAATTTGCTTTAATTTAGATATTTATTTTATTTTTCTATTTGTTCTTTTATCGTATTCTTTGAATATTTTCTCCCCACTCCCTTCATTTCTTCCTCTCTAATGAGATTTCGGGTGTGTGTTAGGGTACTATTTTTTTACGTATTTCATTTTTTTTAATCTTTTTTATTTTGTTTTCCTGTTTGTTTAGTTTCTTTCTACCTTTTTATTCTTCGTTTTTTTTTTTTGTTTTTCGTTTTTTTTCTAAAAAGAAAACGACAATGCAAACGAAATTAGAAATTCTCTTCAGCGTTCCTTGAGGATTACCGGAAATGGAATTAACTTAGAGAATGTAGTAATTAAAGTGCGTCATATACACCGTAATTTAAATATTTGTCTTTATTTCTTTTCTTTTTATACACGCTTTTTTTTATTTTCTTTCAATTGTTTTTTTTTCCTTGCAATTCATTCTTTTCGTTTTCTCTCACTTACTAATTGTGTTATTTATTTATTTTACTGATGGTAGCAACTTTTTTCTTGCCTTCTATTTTCTTCACCGTTTTTCATTTTCCTGAAAAGTCAAAGAATATGCAAATAAGGTTAGGAATTCAGATTCAATGAAGCTTAATTAAACAACACTTATATACGATACCCGCATATTTGAAATGAATTTGAATTGCCGTATTTCCAAAAAATTCCAGTATTTAGCCAGCAGAATCTTGTCTACCATTCTGACATCATCGATTTTTTTTTTAAAATAACTAAGACGGTCAGAAGAACAACACAAAATATACAATTTGAAAAGTTTTTTTTACACTATTTCGAAAGAGCATATCAGAAAAATACATTTAAACATATCTATCTATATATCTGAGATGAGGTAGTGTAAATACACTATTTATATTGTTCGGGCTGTTGTCCTTATCTTATTGCCATATTCACGACGTTTCGGCCGTTGTACACTCTAGCCTTCTTCAGTTGATATACAGTGAAATTTCAAACCGAATCTTTTATTTAGTTCACGGGTGTAGATTGTTCTAATTCGACGTACGATGCTTGTTCTGGATATTTGTTTCAGTTAATTCCCTTTAGTAACTCAACTCTCCAAATTTCTGTTCACCTCTACTGTGGCCAGGTATTAAACTGACCAAGACAACAGTCCGAACTATATAAATATCAGGTCATCCCATAAGTTCTGTCCGAATTTTAACTTTTTGTTAAAATGAAAGGAAATTTAAAGAGTATTTTATAATGTCTAATGGACCTGAACATTATTTTTATGTTGAGATGCATTTAAACTGATCAAATTTTATTTCAGAGAACAATAAAATTAAATTGTGTTTGATTAAAACCCTGCTAACATGGAAGTACCCAAGAATCATTTGAGGCACATAATGCTTTATGAGTCCAAGAAAGGAAACTCAGCAGATGAAGCAGCTAGAAACATTCACTCAGTTTATGGAGAGGAATGTGTGAATGAAAGAACTTGCAGAAGATGGTTTAAAAAATTCAGAGGTGGAGATTTCACCCTTGAAGATGAAGATCGAACAGGACGTCCAGTTGAGTTTGATGAAAAGATTCTTGAAGCAGCCCTTGAAGAAAATCCTGCTTTATCAGTTGAGGAATTGGCAGTGGTTCTCAGTTCAAACCATACAACTGTTCATCGTCATCTTCAACAACTTGGAAAATTTCCTAAACTTAGAAAATGGGTGCCTCATGAATTGTCTGAAAACAAACTCAAATCCCGAGTTGACATCTGCTCTTCTCTCCATTCTCACCAACTTGTTTCACCTTTTTTGGATAGACTTGTGACTGGCGACGAAAAATGGATTTTTTACCGAAATGTTAAGCGTCGTAGACTGTGGCTTGGTAAAGGAGAAGGACCCCAGCCACAGACGAGAAGGGAACTTCATGGGCAAAAGGTTCAATCTGGTGGGATCGCCAAGGAATAATCGACTTTGAATTCATACCACCTAATGCAACAATTAATGCTCAAATATACTGTCAGCAATTACTATGCCTGTTATGGGAAGTAATACATTTTTTTAAATTTTTTTATTTTGTTTGTTTTCAAATTTTGTTGGTAAATTGTTGAAATGTAGTGTTATAAAATTTTGTATTTTGTTGTCTGTCAATCCTTTACTTTCCATAAACAGTGCGGCTATAGAAATCAATACGGTATAGTGACACAATCGAAACATGAAAATAAACTAACAACACCAAAAAAACCCTGATTATATGGACAAAAACTGTCCATATAATCGGGGTTGTTTTATATATATATATATATATATATATATATATATATATATATAGAGAGAGAGAGAGAGAGAGAGGGGGGGGTTGTACGCCCTCCTCCTACCAAACGGAAAAAAAGTATGAACGTTGAAAAAATGTCACACTTTTTCAAATTTATATTTTTAAAGCAATTCACCCCAAGCAAGGCGGGAGTGCCTCTAGCACGCATGGGGTTACAGAGGATTGAGAACAAGAGTAA